CTTCCTGCAATCAACAAACTAACCCCATGCCCAGAGCGCAACAATAAAAGAAGGCCTCCGCCTCTCCTCGATCGTGACGACCCGACTGCCGCGCATCGCCCCGCACGAGACGCTGAGATATCAGCACTGGGAGATCCCGGCCGGTGTATGTCTCCGTTGCCCCCTTGCCCCTCGTGCCCCCTTTCTCCCCATTCACCCCTCCCCCCACCAATGCTAACAAAGTAAAAAAAGACCCCAATAAGCATGTCCACCTACTTCATCCTCCGCGACCCGACCATCTTCCCCTCGCCGACCCGCTTCCTCCCGGACCGGTGGCTGCTCGCGCCGGAGGAGGCGCTGCGGCTGCAACGGTATCTGGTGCCTGCGTCGAAGGGCACGCTAGGGTGTTTGGGGCAGAAGTGAGCTCCCCCCTATACTTTTATCCCCCAGCATTATCTTTTCAGTGGCCTAGTACCCCCCTTCCCAGCATCATCCCCAGCCCTCTAAACACTCCCTCCCTCCCTCCCTCCCCACTTGCGCTGCGTGTCATCGTCACCGTTACCGTTACCGTTGGCACAACCCCCACTAACATTACCCGGATGGTGTATGGGGTATGCAGCATGAACGCAGCCTGGATGCACCTCGTCCTGGGCACGCTGTTCCGGCGCTACGAGCTGGCGCTCCACGCGACCACGCAGGCGAATGTGGAGATGACCCGGGATAATTTTATTGGGCAGACCGCGTTCGGGGCGAATAATGTGCAGGTTAGGGTTGTGGGGGTTGTGGGTTGATTTTTTGTGGTTGGGATGAGGGTGAGGTACTGGTTGGGTTGGGTTGGGTTGGGTTATGTTCGGTTGTGGGTTTTTGGTCAGGGACTCGGTGTGGGGATGAGAATGGATGTGCTTATGTGCTTGAGTGCTTGGGGTGAGTTTGGTTGGGCTTTTGCTTTGGTTGATGTGGAGGGTCCTTGAAGGGGTTTCTCTAGTTTAGTTGATCAGTTGTTTGGTGGGCTGGGTAGGGAATCAGAAATTGCCGGTTTTCTTGGTGATGTAAGTGGAAGGGGACTCAGACAGGTCAGGGTTGGGAGATGTAGTGGTGGTTTTTGATATTTTGATGTATTTAGTGCGAAGTCGAGAGGCAGAAGCGATTGGGTTATCAGGTGAAGAGGCGGGTGGATTCAAGCCACTATACATGTACTGTGCTGTACCACCCGACTAATATGTGCGGAGCGCGGACTTGAAAGTGATGTAGAGGACATTGGTCATGCCCAGAGACGCTACTTAAAATCATTCGACAGGCTTAGTTGTCTATAAAAATCATCTAAAAGAAAATCTAGTCTAGACTGAACAAATCTTTAGTCACCACCACATCATAGACATTCAACAAACCTTCTCAATAATCAGACTATCCTATGGACTTCTCGTATAGAAATGACCCTGGGTATTATATACGCAAAGACTGAGAAATGGCCAGGTCGCTCATGCAGGTTGAACTGTAGGAATAGCCTTCTCAAAAGGCTAGCTAGCACGCTTGGGTGGTTTACCGAAAAGCATCCCTCAAGCCAGTCGGTCATGCTCGAGCTTCTTCCGCATTGCGCCATGGATGCGCTTCTCGCGCAGGATCGTCCACAGGCACACAATTAGTCCGGCCAAGCCGGAGAAGAACGTAGTGTAGTAAGCAGCCTGGTAGCAGGCCAGCCCATCCGGGCATTCCCGGTCGCCGTCCGGGCCAACCACGGAGTGATGGTCGTATGTGTGCCCATAGAGCAGGTTGAACACGTTGCCGCTGAAAACCGGGGCAATGGTCATGACGCCCCAGTTCTGCGAGAGGCCGTTGATGCCGAAGTTGTGCGCGACCAGGGAGGGGAACACGCCGAAGAGGAACCCGTAGGCGATGCCCGTGAAGCCCGACACGATGGCCAGCTGGTGGGGGTTCGAGATTGACGACCCGGCGAGCTGGGTGATGGTGAAAACCAGAGCGGACATGAACAGGCACCAGAAGCGGGACATGTTCAACTTCTTGACCAGAAGATCCGAGCCGATCCCTGCAGGGTACACGAAGGCGTTGAGCTGATGAGCCAAGGCGGGACGTGGGGTGTCAGCACTTACCACTCAGCAGACGGCCGGTGAAGTTGCCAAAAGACAAGATCGAGACATGCATGACCTGTCGCTGCTGGATGAACTTCGAGCTTGCGCTGTCATCGTAATATGTCCAAAGTGCCTTGGCCTGCGGAGCTTAGCATCCCGCCGGACCGGACGAAAGGAAGGTCTTACGCTGTTTCCGATGTTACTGGTGTGCGGTTAGTCTTCATGCACAGTCAACGGGGTCATCATTGTACTCACTTGATCGTCATCAGGCCAATGCCAGACAGCAGCGCCATGGTCAGGAAGAGCTGCCAGAACTCGACCCTCGAAAGCATCGCCAGGCCTCTGACGTCTGGATGAGGTGAGTCGGGGGCAACATCAGAAATGGCATCCTCTTCAAGCTCCTCCCCTTCGTGCTCAGGTAGGGATTCGTGGGACGTTCTGAATGGGACTTTGGGTACCAGGGAAGAGGTCTCGTTAACATCGGGGTTGTGGTTGCGGGCAGTAGGGTTCGACGCGTTCGATTGCGACCTGGTATGGCCCGGGGGTTGGGAGTCAGAGATAGTATATCTTTGCGTACCTGCTTCATCAGAATCGTCATGGCCGGGTCGCAGCTCGTTGGACCTCGCTTTGCGCAGCCGACGTGATTCCACTCCGGGCGACCGGTCTCGGCCGAGTGACATGTACGAGTCTACGGGTGGGAGGATTCGGAGAAACGGGATCGAGATCAGGTTCAGAATACAAGTCCCCAGAGCCAACAAGAGGAGAAAGCGACCAGTATCATCCTTGAAGAGAACGCTGGATATCGTCGACCAGAAGAAGGCGCTTAAGCCGAAGGCCGCCAACGGAAACGCAGTCGCCGTTCCACGGTGCTCGGGGAAATTCGACGCCGCTGCAATCGTGGTGTCTTAGCACAAGTTCAACCAAGTCAGCCGGCATGGACTCACAAGTCTTGATAGATGCTGAGAATGCTGAGGCACTGCCGAAGCCGGTCAAGAAACTGAAGAAGGCCAAGAAAATGGTGCTGAGAGAGCCTGGCCCGCCCTCATGTGCTGTGCTCAGCGACGGAAATTAGCAGTCTTCTTCACCACCGGTGACACCAGCGCCTACCCAGATAGATGGGATAATAGCCCAAGCCAAGGGTGATGGCTCCCAAGAAGGTCGTCAGACGGGGGCCCCGAGCATCAGTCAACAGTCCCAACGGGATGCCTGACGCATACATGCCCAGATTTCCCGCAGCACCCTGGAAATTGTGAATCTCACGATCGACAGGATTGTATGAGCCGCAGGCAGCTTGCTTACAATGAAGTTGCTTTTTGTTGCTGAGATCTTCATCTGTTGCGCGAATTGAGGCGCCCATGCGGAGTATGCATACTGGGTCTGATTAGAACTCGCGTGCACGGTATATCAGATGGTGGATTGGCACATACGTTCGTCCCACAGGCGAGCGCAACCACCGTTGCTGCTATCACGGAGATGAATCGCTTCGTTTGATGCGATGAAGGCGCCATTTTGCAGTCTTTAGGTGCTGTTTGCGCCAGGGAAGCCAGGGAGCGGGGTTCACATGCAAAGAAAAGGTGGGGAAGGAGGTCGCAAGAAGGCGAGTGTCTATTTGTAGCCTCGACTCGGAGTGTTCCACGGATGGTGCAGGGGAGAAACGTTATCACGTCACGATAACCGAACAGAAGGCCGAACGCAAGGAGCCGGGACTAGTTTGTATGCTTAGTGGTAAGTTACTCAGATAGGTCAACTCGGAGTATATGACAGCGCCAATCGAGATAAACGAATGTAGACGGTGTAGTTAATCAATTGAAAAAACGAAAAGAAAGAAAGCTGAGTAAAGAGTGGTGAGGAGAGAGTAGAAAAAAGATAAGATACGAGAAAAATGAACAAGTAATGAGCGACAGCAGAGGGAGGAGAGGATTTTCACCTGGCACTCGCTCCAAGTGTCTTCTTTCGAGGGGACTCGTAATCGGGTGGATTGGAAGATCGCGCCGTCCTCGGCCTCGACTCCGCACTTGCGCTGCACTGGCAGTGGCAGTTCTGACAAGAACCACCAGGACCAGTCGCTTATCGCCGATAAGGCCCAAAGAAAGGGGGCCTGACCGTTCGCAGGCAATTTCTCCGATGCCGGCGGTGAGTCTCACATGACGAAGGCGGCGGCGACGACAACAATTGCCGGCATCTTCAACTTGCTGCCTGCCTTGCTTGGTCTGCAGTCCCGGCCACACGCTACGACTTATTATTCACCACTTGCGCCAGTTCTGCTACTATTCAGCGCTATCAATATCAAGTCACTACTCGAGAAGAAATAGAGGCATTGAAGGTTCATCATCATGGGAGCCCTTCTGTCTCTGCCTTTGTTGGCGATCCCGAGCGCCAGCACGGTACGTAATCTCTATCCTCCTCATCGCCCCGTCCACGACTAATCGCGACACAGCTCATCACCCTTGCGACTTCCTGCTGCGGCGCTGCGACCTGTTCCGCAGTATGTAGCGCATGTGGCAAGTTCCAGAACAGGTGAGACCTATGGCTAATCGGAGAACACGCGAACCTTGAACTAACACCGCGCAGCATGGCGACGAGAATCGCCTACGCCTTCATCCTCCTTTTCAACTCAATCGTATCCTGGATCATGCTCACGCCATGGGCGCTCAAGAAACTTCAGCAAATGACTTTGGACTACATGGAAATCCGGTGTGACGGCAAGGAATGTCACGGATGGGTCGCGGTGCATCGTATCAACTTCGGTCTTGGCCTGTTTCACTTGATCCTCGCCCTCGCCCTGCTCGGGGTGAGGTCCTCCAAGGATGGCCGTGCCGTTCTGCAGAATGGGTTCTGGGGTCCGAAGATCATCCTGTGGCTCGCGCTCGTGGTCACGTCATTCTTCATCCCGGAATCGTTCTTCTTCGTCTATGGACACTACATCGCCTTCTTCTGCGCCATGCTGTTCCTGCTGCTCGGGCTGATCCTCCTCGTGGACCTGGCCCACTCTTGGGCCGAAATCTGCCTGCAGAAGATCGAGGACCAGGACTCGCGGACTTGGCGCGGTCTGCTCATTGGCTCGACCGTGGGCATGTACCTTGCATCGCTGGTCATGACGATCCTGATGTATGTCTTCTTCGCCCACAGCGGATGCTCCATGAACCAGGCTGCGATTACGGTAAGTGACTTGCACAGTGCACATTCTGTGGTCATGGTTATTCTTGCTGACTCGTGCACTTTAGATCAACCTCGTCATCTTCCTGATCATCTCGATAATCTCTGTGCAGCCCATCGTGCAGGAGTCCAACCCCCGCGCGGGACTGGCCCAGGCCGCGATGGTGACGGTCTACTGCACGTACTTGACCATGTCAGCTGTCTCGATGGAACCGGATGACCGGCACTGCAACCCGTTGATTCGGGCGCGGGGCACCCGCACCGCTAGCATTGTTCTGGGCGCGATCGTCACGATGGCCACGATCGCATACACCACCACGCGCGCGGCCACTCAGGGGATCGCGCTGGGGTCGAAGGGCGGGCACAGCTACTCGCAGCTGCAGTCCGATGACAACGAGCACGGCCTCGTGACGCAGCAGCCCAGCAGCCGGCGGGAGATGCGGGCCGAGGTGCTCCGTGCGGCGGTGGCCAGCGGCAGCTTGCCCGCCAGCGCCCTCGACGAGAGCGACGACGAATCCGACGAGTACGACACCAAGGACGACGAGAAGGGCTCGACGCAGTACAACTACTCCCTGTTCCACATCATCTTCTTCCTGGCGACCACCTGGGTGGCCACGCTGCTCACGCAGAACCTGGACCCCGAGGCTGCGGACGACTTTGCGCCGGTGGGTCGGACCTACTGGGCCAGCTGGGTCAAGATCATCAGCGCCTGGGTGTGCTACGCGATCTACCTGTGGACTTTGATTGCCCCGGTGGTTCTCCCCGACCGCTTCGATACCTACTAGGGGTGTATGTAGTATAGCCGCGTATTCTTTGGCGTTGAGCGTTGCTTAGCGATTTTGTCGTTCTTTCTGTTTTGCTGTACAGTTGTATATATTTCTGGCACGAGTATGCAATCATTTTATAAAGTAGTCGTATTTCGCTTGGTACATTTACTTCGATACGTGAGTGTGCGTAGCCCACGCAAACAGTACGTATCACACTGCAGTGCAGGTAGCGGGGGGGCCCACAGGCCGATTAGTTATCGGAGTCGCGTAAAGTGGTAACCGCCCGACGCGTGGAGGCCCACCCTCCGTTTCCCCAGAAAGCTTCAAGCTTTCCTTCCCAACCAGCTGAGCCATGGCATGAACATGGCGACCATCAAGGCCATCGAGGCCCGCTCAGTACGTTGCCCTCTTTTTTTTTATCCCCTTCCGAAGATAGCGAATCTCTAACCCCCTCCAAAAAAGGTCCACCAAATCCAATCCGGCCAAGTCATCACCGACCTCTGCTCCGTCGCGAAGGAGCTGGTCGAAAACAGTCTCGATGCCGGGGCCACCTCCATCGGTGCGGTCCCCTTTCATAATTTTATGAATCAAAACGCTAGGCACTGCAGCAAGAAACTAACTTTTTTGGCGGGGGGTAAAGAGGTGCGCTTCAAGAACCACGGGCTCGATCTCATCGAAGTCCAGGATAACGGCAGCGGGATCGCGCCGGAGAATTACGAGAGTTTGGGTGAGCCCCCCTTGAACCCCAAGCCGTTGACTACGGTCACGATTGTTGCAAAGCGTTGCGGAACTGGATGGATGGATGGAGGAATGGATATGCTGACGCCAACGCCGCCGCAGCCCTGAAGCACCACACCTCGAAACTGGCGACCTTCACCGACCTGAACACGCTCCACACCTTCGGGTTCCGCGGCGAGGCGCTCTCGTCGCTGTGCGCGCTGTCCAGCTTCCACGTCGTGACGGCCCAGGCGCACCAGGCGCCCAAGGCGACGCGGCTGGACTTCGAGCCGTCCGGCCGCCTCCACAAAACGCAGCTCGTGGCCGGGCAGAAGGGCACGACCGCCGCGGTCGCGCACATCTTCCGCGGCTTGCCGGTGCGGCGCCGCGAGCTGGAGAAGAATCTCAAGCGCGAGTACGGCAAGGTCGTCAGCCTGCTGCATGCGTACGCGTGCATCAGCACCGGGGTGCGGTTCACCGTGCGCAATACTACAGCCACTAAGGGTGGCGGCGGGGCGGGAAGGAATGTCGTGGTGTTCAGCACGAACGGGAATGCCACGACTAAGGCAAACCTGGCGAACGTGTATGGGGCGAAGACGCTGGCGGCGTTGATTCCGCTGGAGCTGGAGCTGGATTTTGCCGGCAGCATCAAGGTGCGCGGCCATATCTCCCGGCCCGTGGTCGGGGAGGGGCGCCAGACGCCCGATCGCCAGATGTTCTTCGTGAATGCGCGGCCCTGTGGGCTGCCGCAGATCGCGAAGGCGTTCAATGAGGTCTACCGCTCGTTCAATGTCGCGCAGTCGCCGTTCGTGTTCGCCGATTTCGAGATGGATACGGCGGCGTATGATGTCAATGTGTCGCCGGATAAGCGGACGATCTTGCTGCATGATGCGGGCCAGCTGATTGAGTCGCTGAAGCGGGCGCTGGTGGAGTTGTTTGAGAGGGCGGAGCAGACGGTGCCGCAGGCGCAGGTGGCGGCGGGGAGGCAGTCGCGGCTGCAGGGTCTGGGGTCTGGTCGGGCGGGTGATGCTGCTAAGGATAGGGAGAAGGGGGAGGAGGAGGAGGAGGAGGAAGATGGGGATAAGACTCAAATCAAGACGAAGGGTGCAGTGCACGCCAACGCTCAGGATCGGATGAAGAGCTTCCTGAGTGGACTGGGGGCTGGAGGAACTCGTGCCGAAGAGCCTGCTGATCATGCTTCGAATGAAACACAAGACGCTGTGTCTGCAGCACCGAAGCCTCAGTCTGACCTGCCCGAGGAAGAGGAAGAAGAAGACAACGAGCTCTTCGTGCGGCAGGACAGCACGCCAGTCTCTCGCGAGAGGGCTCTTCCGCAGGACGAAGTCCCTGGTGGCTCTACACAGGACATCCAGGCTGTCGCTCCATTGAGCCCTCCCATCCCCTCGACACAGGACTCAGAGATCCCGGAAGAAACGCCGAGTATTGTGCAGAACGCCTTCGACCGCATGCGGCCCAGACGCATGCCAGCCGAGATCGCCACGATCACCATTGGTAACCGGACCGTCACCTCCGTGATAGGAAGTGGTGTCCCGAGAAAGAGATTTAGTGATTCCACTGGGTCAAGTGGCTCTACCAGGAAGAGGCGGATACACACGCCGTCCCGGCCGAGCATTTTTGGCAAACATATGCGCGACTTTGCCGCCCCTGGGTCCCAGATGGCGCAGGACGAGGGTGAGGGGGATGAAGAGATTGAGGACGAGTACTCTGACGAAGTCGAAGAAGATCAAGACGAGATGGAGGAGGATGCTGAAGTTGACGAGATGGAAGAAGATGCCGAAGAAGACGAGATGGAGGAAGATGATGCAGAGCAGATGGAAGAGACCGGCTCTCAAGCTTCTGCGCACTCCGACCATGAAAGTGAACACTCCGACGCCGGTGCTGATGAAGCAGCCGACAAGGAAACCGCCACGCAACCTGCGCAAGAGCACATGACCGAGGAAGAGAAGAAGCAGCATGAAGAGGCCGAAGTGCAGCGGTTGATCCAACAAGCGGAGGAGAAGGCCGCCCTCCCGCACAACAGCGAAAAGCGCGCCATTAAAATGAACAAGGGCGCCGCTCACCGCGACTCCACAGTCCAACTCGTGACCACCGTCGACGGCTCCCTATCCAAGATCCAGACCCGATTCAACCAACTTCAAACCTGCCTTCGTCACGCAGCAGTCGACACTACACAAGACCCAACCGAGATGGCTGGATCCCGGGCGACTGCGGAAGAACGACTGTCCCTGACGGTCAGCAAGGATGATTTCGCGCAGATGCGGATCATCGGACAGTTCAACCTAGGGTTCATTCTGGCGACGCGGCCCCGCGCCGGCACGCACCAGGATGAGCTGTTCATCATCGACCAGCACGCGTCGGATGAGAAGTACAACTTCGAGCGCCTGCAGGCGGAGACGGTGGTGCAGAACCAGCGGCTGGTGCGGCCCAAGCCGCTGGACCTGACGGCGGTCGAGGAGGAGGTCGTGATCGAGAACCAGGCGGCGCTAGAGAAGAACGGGTTCGTGGTGGAGGTGGACGACAGCGGGGACGAGCCCATCGGCCGCCGCTGCCGGCTGGTGTCGTTGCCGCTGAGCAAGGAGGTGGTGTTCGGAGAGCGCGACCTGGAGGAGCTAATCGTGCTGCTGTCGGAGATGCCCGCGACGAGTGGGAGTGAGGAAGTGCCCCGCCCGACCAAGGTGCGGAAGATGTTCGCCATGCGGGCGTGTCGGTCGAGTATCATGATCGGGAAGAACCTGACGACGAAGCAGATGCAGCGGGTGGTGCGCAACATGGGAACGATCGACAAGCCGTGGAACTGTCCTCACGGGCGGCCTACGATGCGGCATCTGATGAGTTTGGGGGAGTGGGATGAATGGGATGAATGGGGGATGGGGGAGGATGAGGGGCGAGATCGGTTGGATATCTGGCGGGAGTATTTTGAGGAGGAGGAGGAGGCTGAGGATTAACCTGGACAGATGTGATGTCTTGAGTTGGAATTGGTATACCGGGTCAGGGTTCAACTTTGTATATACTTTGGTCAGCAGGGCTCTACTTCTATCGCACATATCCACCACCCACCACCTACCTCGACACTCCATACAACCACTGCATCCTCTACTCCTCAAACCCAATCGAATGCGCAATCTCCCTCATCTGCTCCAAATTCTGCTGCAGACCCTCAATCTTAGCCTGGAACCGCCGATAACAATCCTCCCCCAACGGCACCCGCAGCAGCCCATCTTTCCCCGCCCCCAACCCCGTCCCATCCACCACCTCGACAATCCGCTGCGCCGCCTTGGCCGGATCCGACCCCGCCGCATTCTGTGCTGTCTTATTCCCCCTGAACTTGGTCAGAACCGCCTCCACCGGCGTCCCCGCATACCCCGGATCCAACCCGGCCGCCGGCTCCACGAACGCCGCCCAGAAGCCCGTCCGCAGCGTGCCCGGCTCGACCAGCAGCACGCGGATCCCCAAGGGAGCGAGTTCCTTAGCCAGGCTCTCGGACATACCTGCCACACGTTAGCCCAACCCAATAGCCCATCCGGCCGGCGCACCCCAATCCCAACCCCAAGGGGGTACTACTCACCCTCCAAGGCAAATTTACTCCCCGCATAAACCGCACAAGCAGGCAACCCGTCCACGCCGGCACTGCTCGAGACATTGACGACCGTGCCGGCCCGCCGCGCCCGCATGGCCGGCAGCACCGCCTGCAGCACGCGGATCGCCCCGAACACGTTCGTGTCGAACTGCGCGCCCACCTCGGCCAGGGTCATGGCTTCGATGCTGCCGAGCAGGGAGTAGCCGGCGTTGTTGACGAGGACGTCGACGGGCGGGTGGGCCGCGAGGGCGGCGGAGAGCGTTGCGGGGGTGTCTGGGGAGGTGATGTCGAGGGGCAGCCAGGTGAGGCGAGGGTGGGTGGTGAGGGAGGGGTGGGTCAGTGAGGCTTGCGTCGGGTTGCGCGCGGTGGCCAGCACGGTGTGTCCGGCTTGCAGGGCGGAGTGGGCGAGGGCCGCGCCGAGGCCGCTGGATGCACCGGTTATTAGGTAGGTTTTTGGCATTTTGGGGGTGGATATGGGGTTGGGGTTGAGGGGGGAGGGGAGGGGGGGTGTATATGTAGGTGATGTACAGTACGGAGTGGAGTATATGTATATGGTTGTGTATAAGGTGGTGGTGGTGGTGGTGGTGGTGGTGGACGGAGTTTATGCTTAAGGCCGCGTACTTCCGGTATCTTTGGGTTGCACTCCGTAGGAGTTACTGGTGAGAATGGTGTGGTGAGATTGACGGTCAATGTGGGTTTGGGGGCGGGAATCCTGCGCTAGACATCCATCCCTGTGTTTCCAATTCCTTGTCGAGGTGCGGATTGCGTGGACTTGATAGTATCAAGGGGATTGCTGTGGATATACGATGTAGATAGGAAGGTAAAGGTAAAGGCAAGGCGGGGCGGCGGGCGGGGTGGCGGGTGTTTCTGTTCCATGGTTAGAATCGTTGATTCATGAGTAGTAAAGTAGTATTTCCCTTATTGAAGTAAACAATCCATAGCTACAGCCAGGAGGTGCTGTATAGAGTGTCCTATTCTCAATTGACCAAGATGGAGTACAAGCTGTAGAACAGTGTACTACTGTACCTACACCGACTGACCTATCTCCAGCAGTATAGTCGACATCACATGCAACTGACAAGGATGTGCCCACCTCCAACAAGCTAGTATGTAGTCTACGTAGTCAAGTCAAGCTATATCCTCCCATCACCACCACATCACCATCATCAAGTCCACTCAACCAACCACACTAGAAACCACCCTCCGATCAAACCATCCCGATCCTTAACAAACAACACAACACCAAAATGCCCGACCCCCCCACAACACCAACCACAAACGCAACCACAACCATAACCCCCGCACCCGCACCCGCACCCGCACCCGCAACCACAACCACACCCCCCAATCCTCTCCCCAGCACCAGCACCAGCACCCCCGAGCACCCCGAGCACCCCCCAACCACCCAGCCCTCAGCCTCAACCACATCCCCCCCCACAAACACAGCAACCGAAGCCCGCACAGCCTTCACCGCCACCCTGCGGAGCACCGCGCAAGCGCACGAGACGCACCTGCGCGAGCGCGCGCGGACCCTGCACGACAACGCCGCCGCCCTCGAGCGCCAGGAGCACGCGGTCGCGGGATCGACGGCGGCGCTGGCGAAGCAGAACGCCCAGCTGGCCAAGACGGCGGACGCGGCGCGCGACGCGTTGAAAGAGATCGGGGACGTGCAGAACTGGGCGGAGATGATTGAGCGCGAGTTGTTGGTGGTGGAGGAGACGTTGCGGTTGGTTGAGCATCGTGCGGGGGGTGGGGATGGGGATGGGGATGGACAGGATTCTGGGGGGGAGGGGGTTGATTTTGGTGATGAGGGGGATGCTGGGCTTGTGAATGGGGTTGGGGCTGGGAAGATGAAGGGGAATGGGAATGGGAAGGTGAGGAGAGATGAGCGGGACGGAGGTCGGGAGGAGGAGGGTGGTGATGACGACGATGCCGATAACGAGAATCTTGGGAAGGGGAGGGGTGGGTGGTTTCGGTGGTGGTGATTCTTCTTCATGGGGTTGGGGTTTGAGTTGGATCTAGGGGCAATGGATCGTCAGGATGATTGTTTGCGGGGTACTATCTTGTCTATTTGTATATCTGCAGTCATGGATTGATGCATACACCATGCAGGTACACAGCACTTACTGACAGTCATGACCAGCAGTACACATACTACACTACATCACTGCATGCATCAACCCTACGTCTGATCATCCCGCAACTACCTTGTATACACCGCATCCATTAGTCGCTAGTAATCACCCAACACCGTGCATGCCCGAAAATACTATGTATGTGTTGAAACAAATGGCAAAAATACAAGTAACCCCGACCAACGGATCACTACATATTGGCCAGCTCGTGGTCAATCTGTTTGTCGAGGAAGGCCCGTTTGTCGCCCATCAACGTCGTTTGCAATCGTTGCTCAACCAATGCCCGCACTGTGCCAGATTAGTTAGGGACCGAAACAACCACCCAGGCAAATCACTTACCCTGCTTCTTCGTCACCGTGTCCAAATCCACCTCGGCCAAGCAGCTGCGGATCGCCTCCGTGATCGAGGCCTCGTCCGGCCCACTGCCCCCGCGGAAATCGAACGCGCTCACCGGTCGAGAGGAGTAGCCTCCCACCGGACTGCGCGAGTTGGGTCGCGGCCCACCGAGCAGGTTCTCCGTGCTCTGCATCAATCCCACACTGTGGCGGTTCGTCGCCATCCCACTGTCCTGGAACTGGCTCAAGTTGCCCATCGACATGTGGCGCGACACGTTGTGACTGCTCTGGTGAGGGTTGTCCGTGTATCTCGTGAAGCTGGACAGATGCGATTGGCGGTTGCCCGGCGTGTTCAGGAAAGGTGCCGGCGACTGCGGTGGCATGTAAGGGCTGCTGTGGCGACCCTGCCCGGGGAAGCCCGTCAGGATCGTCGACGCCGGCTTGACCGACGAATACTGCGAGTGCATGTCGTCCATTTCCATCGCCATCTCGTCACCAAACCGCCCAGAGTACAGCTTCTCCTGGCTCATGCCGAAGTCGCCGCGACGGCCGGGGAGATTGTTGGCCAGAGCATAGTCGTCCCAGCGCTGCAGCGGAATGCTGCGCGGGTCGAATTTGTCTTCCTCCACCGCCACCACCTTCTTGTCTCCCTTCTCACCGATCACAACACGCGTGTTACCCCAACTGAAATCATCCTGCTTCCAGAAAGAGTACAGCGGCAGAACAAAGTTGTAGACCGGGTAGGCACACAGATAGATGATCATCCATCCGATGTGTTGCCACTGGCGCTTGAGAAGGAAGATAATCGCCTGGAGACCATACACACCCGCCAAGATAATGATAGAGATGATCGGGAACTGACCCGTTCCACTTCCAACCAGATACAACAGGTATCCCAGGTAGACACACGTAGCCGGAAGAATAAGCGTACCAATAAGATCAACCAGGACGACGAACCGCATACTGAACAAACAGAAGCCACACATATCCTTCAAGGCCGCAACCTCAACCAGGTTATGGATAGTGGAGTTGATCCAACGACGTCTCTGCGAAAGCAGGACGGACCATGTCTCGGGCGCGGCCGTACTGGCGTAGGCATCGGGGATGAACTTGTAGGACATGTGAGGGAAATGCTTTGTCATGAGGGTGGTCAGGAAACGATCCTCTCCCAAAGACAAAAGGTTCTTCTTGTGAAGGGTGTCCACTTCAGGGTCGGCATATTCGACGATGACCTGATCGGAAATGATAAGCGGGCGACCCTTGTCGGCGGTGCGCAAGCGATACATGCAGAAACTAAAACCTGTTAGCAGCAATTCAGACACACTCGGGTCAGTGACTTACCATCCCGGAAGACAGGTGACGGTGCCGAAAAGCGATTCGAATGCCTTGGCCAGATGGTGAGAAATGTAGTACTCGTAGACCTGAATCATCGTCCACCAACTCCGCTCCTCGTTCTGAAGACTGGTCTCGCCACAAATACCGGCAATCCGTGCATCATTGGCACATGCAGCCACAAGTCGGTTCAGTGAGTCTTCCCGCACACTAGTATCGGCATCCACCATCAGGCAGTACTCGTACAGCTCGGGGTCAACGCCAATCACGTTGTTGATCTGATGGAAGATCTCAAGCTCGAGCGGCGTCATGGGAGAGCGATGGTGCACGCGATTCAGGAACTGCATCAACAGGATCTGGGAGTCACGCTTGCCACGGTTGCCAGGCTTGGGCTTGCTCTGCTCCGACTCCTTACCGACCTTCACCACAACGATGTACGGAACCACGTTGCCTTCATATTCGTAGAGACCAGAGTATACCTTTCCGTAGTTCAGTTGCTCGTTTCCTTGTCCGATGGCCTTGCAGGGTAACGCAGGAGGATCGATCTTGGGATCCACGCCAAGGATATCCAGCACGATCTTGGGAGTTGGCCGGTCATTACCACCACCGACAATCATACCGTCACAGATCACGAAGATGAGCTTCCGCTTGTTATCATATTCGAGGGCAGTAAGCGAGTCCAAACCCTGCCGCAGCGCATCCTCACCCTCGGTGTAGGCAGGGACCATGCAGATAACGAACTTGTCTTGCGGAGCAGGCCGACGCTTGGTACCGAACTGCAGAGCGGCAAGAAACTTGACAACAATCACAGCACAGATCATAACCGTGAATGCCAACAAGATCCAGTTGTTGACCGTACACCTCGGGCTGTTGCGGAAATCGACTTTGCCCTTGTAGAAAACGTAGTCCAGACAAGTCTGGGCGTTACGGAAATCCGTGCTGTTTCCCCATTTCGACGTGACGTCTTCACCAGCATAGTTCTTGAAAAGCGTGGTCACGCTGCTGGGAAGGTAGTCGTAACCGTTGCTATCATCGAACAAATCGGCCGTGTAGAAGTAATCCGTCAGATCATAAATCTTCTCATTGACAATGACCCAGTACCGCGAACTTGACTCAGCCTCCTCCTTGACCTTCTTTCGGGTCCAAACAAGAGGTCCCTTGTAGTACCCTTTCATTTTGGGTAGGAAGATGTCCTCATACCACGTGATGTTGTGCAGCGCCGTGGTCGTGCTTGGCGTTTCATAGGGACCGCACTTGTGTTCCGCATTGGGGTATTCAATGGCGCTGGTGTCGTTGTATTGCATTTGAATTGACTGTTCCGTGACAAAGTGCCCGCAGAAACGAGTCAGTGGGGGAGGGAAGTACGGATCCAGGATCTCTCCGGCGAACGGCTTCATGTTGCTGGTGGTCGTCTCGATACTGCTGTCACTGTGCTGTTTACGCCAGAACTTGCTGATGTCGTATACGTTTCCATGGACACTGACGTAGAAGTCATTGTTGCCCACATGCCAACTGAGCTCCTTTTCGTTCCAGACTTTGTTCTTGTTCGGGCACAGAAGATCGCCGAAAGCGATGATATAGAAGCAGACAATGCCGTTGAACAGCAGGATAAGGAAGACGAGAACGAACTTCTCTCTCCAGGCCATCCGGACGTCAGGACGTTTCATGCGACCAAACCAGCGGAGAGCGAAAGAGGGGATCCAAAAGGTCAACGCCCACACGAAGGCGACCCAGGCACGTCGCACCTTGGTGATGGGCTTCTTCTCGATGTGTTTGCCGTCTCCAAATTCCGGATCAAGCTCGCCTTCGTACCGGGCATAATCCTCGTCCCATTTCCTCGTATCGCCTTTGCTGCCGAGGCCGTAGTCGCCTCCACTCATGTGAAGCGTGTTGGGGACACTGGGCGCAATAGACTTGGCCAGGCCACCATGAACACTGGGCACGAGAGTACTTTGTCTTTGAAGGAGGTCATCCCGGCTTCCCAGAAGACTAGTCGATTCTACGACCGGAGTTCCGGCGTAATGCGGATCAAGCATAGTGCTGCCGTAGATAAACGGGTTCACTGGTGGCGACTCGTCCGGTTTGAGATCGAGCATCGTTTCGGCCTCCCACCAAGCGCTCTCTCGCATCCAAATACGCTGGTGACCGACGACTGCGTCGCCATTGGTCCATCCTCGTTCCATCAACCAGCTTTCGACCCCTTCTCTGCCGTCGGCGCAGCCAAGTCGGTGGTAACGGCTCACGAACTCATCCACATCGAAATCCGCGGTGAAGTCGAGCTGCTTGAGTCGTCTGTTAGCCCATTCGGCAAACCGCCATTCGCGTAATTGACGGGAGACTGCCGCCGCCGACCAGCCGGCAGCTGGGAGGGAAGGGTTAAGATTCTGGGGAAGCTCGTCCGTTGGGTGCAGAGAGATGTGATGCCACACTCTGCTACTTCCCAAAGTGTTGATGAGATCGAAGCGGCCCTTTTGGCCAACCGTGATACCTTCGCTTTCGACAGGCAGCAAAAGGCGTCGGAGGAAAGAGTCCCCTTCAACCTCGAAGCCAACTTTCTCGAGTACCTCCTGTCGCCGCGCGATTTCGTATTCACGTTCGCGCCAGGCATTTCCAGTGGTAATGCCAAGGTCGGGCTCGACCTGTGCAACTGCCGCGTTCACGTCGTTGGAAACTGCGTGCCCAACCGCAGGAACGCTGACGCCGTCTTCCTTCATTTCCGCATTGATACCAATGCTATCGTCGAAGACTTCTCTCATTGCCAATGCTTTGCCCAGGGCGGGTCGAGGGATGTCCACCACCGTGATAGCAACGGTATCGTCGTCAGTCCATTGACCTCCAGGGCCGGAGCCACCGCTCATGCTGGGGCTACTTTCTAGCATTGCTTGGAGCTCGCTCGAAATGGCGTCGTTCGCCTTGCCGATCACCCAATCGACGAGGGCTTCGTAGATTCCAGCAATCAGCACCTCCCGTTCATCGGTCGAGCACTTGCGGGCTAGAATTTCCGGGTCAATCCCTAGGAGGCCGCCGACCTCGTCACAGGCCTCCTCGAGGTCCTCCTGATCGACGAGCAATCCTGCCGCATCGCCCAACTTCAGCAATCCGGCCAGTGTAGCCAGTAGGCCACGCAAAGAGGCTCCCTTGATGCCGATGGCCTTGAGCGCGGCCCGGAAATCCTCTGCGGCA